TTCGATTGTTGCCAACTTCGCTACCTCGCACTAGGAGGTGAGCTCGTCAAGTGGACGAGATAGTCTCATTTTTGTCGCTCCGCCGGTGAGGGGTACTGGCGTTGAGCATTCTCCAGTTGTGGTGAACGTATCTTCTGCTACCTTCCGGGCTCTTTGTCCTTTCTTCTTCCTCGACTTCTTCTGCTGTGGACTCATCTGCTGACGGTAGCGCGCGTGAGTTCGAATGCCCTGACCATGAAATTCGAGCTCGCCCATATGAAGTGAAGCAAATGTCAAAACTCTATTAATGGAACTTCCAGACCTTATTTGTGGTTGCCGGCGCGAGTCTTATCGGCCGAAATTCACACGGCAGCATTCACCCCTTATAGCTCGCAGTGCTACGTGCATTCTCCTTCAAGAGACACGTGTGCATGAAGGTGATCTGCACTTGCTTCGTTCCGATTTCTACACGTTCGAATGCTATTCAGGAGGGAAAGAAACACACAGACACAATTAATCGACGACTCCAAGGAAAATATGCAAACATATGGGAAGTGGTGGGGAAGACAAAAACCCAGAAAATATGGTAAAATATGGGGGATATTTTTATTTGTGTGTATTTATTTGTGTGTTCCAGTTCCCCTTCAGCTATGGGGGCACCAACGCGCAGTGGCGGTTCTGTTACATGCTTCGTGAACGCTTGTTAGTTGAATCTTCTGTTCTCAATTTCCGTCTTCTCTGAATTGAGCGTCAATCTGTCTTGTCGCCGCGCGGTGACAAGGGCGCTGTGTTCTTTTTCTAATACTCCTTTTCTTCCTCAGTTTTCGTTGAAGAGCAAGAGTTAATATTACTGAAGTTGGCCCGTTATATCCCGATGTGCGGGAATGGTCTTGCGATGATGAGTGGGGGCTACAGATGTCTATCGTTGGCGGCACAAGGTACTGCGCGCTCGTCACCGACCGCATTCACATATCTGATACTCTTGGCGTATACGTTGACAAACTTCTTGGTCGGATTCTATAAGTTCAGCAAGAATATCCCACTCACCGCGCCATGCATCAAGGGCGGTTGCATCAGCAGCTCGCGCCGCGTAAGGCTATGATGCACCCACGGGCGCTGCGCGCGACTGGCATACATGCGCGGGGGGTCCGTGGGAAGCGACATCTTTACAGGAACCAAACCCCTGGTCCGGATGGCATTCCGTTTTTGTTCTATCACTATGGAGGAGATAGGCCCAGTCAGATGCTCATTGATGTGTAGCTATGTGTTCTGGGGGGATAATAGTTGCCAGAGGGTTTCAGTCTTGGCTGCATGGTTTTCCTGCCTGAGGGCTTCCAGTGCGCTCTACAAGAATATGTGCACCTTTGTTGTATATTCTGGCGCTGTCCTCATGGGTTGCGTCGCCCTTTTTGGAGTAAGCAGGGCTGTCCATTGCATGGTGGGTATTCGCTCTTATGCTTTATCCCATGGTTTGTCGGATGTGTTTCTGGTCTTCCTCGGCCGCTATCGTGCTTCAGGTGCCTCGCAGACGATTTGGCCCGCGCGCCGGGCGACATGCATCGCCCACTCTATACGCCCTTTCGGTTTGTGATGTTTTGGGAGTATGTCACTGGCCTTTGGAACAATGCACTCATAACCCTGATCATATTCTACCTCCCTCGTGATCCAGGTCAGATTTTGGATCGCATAAAATGCGCTGGCCTGGGCGTTATCAAACTGCAGTTTGTTGATATTGGCGCACATTTTGGCGCGCGTATTAGATCGATGACGCCGCTGAATCGTGGGCATGGGCGCTTGACAAGTACTGCCGACGAATATCTTTTCGTTGTAACTTGGGCGCGCGCTCCACTCGGTCTTTGCGCAGCTACAATGTTCTGGCGAGGGGTGTCTCCATATTCATCGTGCATTTCTTTTCTACTACATCGTTGTATGACGTCGTTAACGCGAAGGGCTACACGCGGTGATTGGTTGGCCGCGTCACTCTGTGTACTCTGCTTCTCTTCATAGTTAAAGGGAGATTGGGGTTATCGTTCAAGCTGTTGGCATCACTCGACATGTTGCGGCTGCTCAGCATCGACTGGGATGGCGGTCAGGTATCTATCTTCGGCGCGCGGATGAATGCCATGAAATGATGGACGGCAGTAACTGGTTGGTTGCTCATGAGCACAATCCCAGGTTCACCAACAGCATGGTTTATAAATTGCATGATAACTGGAGGAACGTAACTGCATCTCTCGTCTTTCAGATGATCCTTGGCTCAATTGTGTGTTCTTGAAGACCAGTGTCCTTATTTCTGCATCCGAGAATCGTGCATTGGATGAGTGACCGACGCATTGATCGATTAGGATCGACGGCGACTCACTTGAATGCAGTTGATGGTTGCTCAGATGCTCTGCTTCGCGCTCGCCAGCGTTCTAAAGACTGCATGCAATGCTCGGGCCACCACTGCTCGACAACGTCAGCCGTTGGAGACATGCCGATATGGATAAATGGCCTGCGCATGTGGTGCCATCTCTCATTATTATACCTGTCCGCTCTTTGTTCTTGCTTGGTCCCATATGCTGCCGCGCATTCCTTCCTAATCGTTCCTTGGTGCTTCTAGGCTGCGGTTCTTGCCGCACCTCTTTAAATAGGGCCCCCCTGAGGAGCTGAGATGTTTCGCCTTTGGTTTCGAGCTCGCACACTCAGTGTATCATAGGATGCGCGCTTCTGAATATTACAGACCTGGCCATTTCCTCCGCCTTTTGCATAATCGTTCGCGACAGCTGTTGCACAGTCGACGGTGGTTGTCTCTCTCCTTTCGTTTTCCCCGCTCATCCCTCTTCACTGCCGTGGTCTAGCCGGTCGCACCTGGTTATAGTGGTCGCCGTGTTCATTTTGCGTCTCCTGTCTCCGATGTTTTTCCTGGTTGTGCTTGTATGAGTTTTTACTTAACAGCTTTTGCTGATAGGTTTCTGGTGGACTCAAAAGAGAGCATCTGATGACTCCACAGGGGGGTCTGGGCGGGTGCCGGGGAAAAGAACAGGGAACTGAGCCGGGCTCGTTTTAAGCCAACAGTCACACACTTCGTGCTCTTCGACCTCCCAAAACTCCACTCCTGGGCTACATTTTGAATGCCCGGAACCAATTGTAGGCCACTTCGTGCTCTTCGAGTTCCCAGAACTCAACTCCCGGGCCACATTTTGGATGCCTGGAGCCAACCGTAGGCCACTTCGTGCTCTTCGAGTTCCCAGAACTCCGTTCCCGGGCCACATTTTGGATGCCCGGAGCCAACTGTAGGCCACTTCGTGCTCTCGATTTCCCAGCATTCCATTCCCGGGCCGCATTTTGGATGCCCGGAGCCAACTGTAGGCCATTTCGTGCTCTTCAAGTTCCCAGAACTCCGTTCCTGGGCATGATTTTGAATGCCCGGAGCCAACTGTAGGCCACTTCGTGTTCTTCTAGTTCCCAAAACTCCATTCCTGGGCCACATTTTGAATGCTGAGGCAGGCTGATGCTGCGGCCGAGGCAGGCTGAGGCTGAGGCAGGCTGAGGCTGAGGCCGAGGCTGAAGGCAGACTGAGGCTGAGGCTGAAGCAGACTGAGGCTGAGGCTGAGGCAGGCTGAGGCTGAGGCTGAGGCAGGCTGATGCTGAGGCAGGCTGAGGCTGAGGCTGAGGCTGATGCAGGCTGAGGCTGAGGCAGGCTGAGGCTGAGGCCGAGGCTGAAGGCAGACTGAGGCTGAGGCTGAAGCAGGCTGAGGCTGAGGCTGAGGCAGGCTGAGGCTGAGGCAGGCTGAGGCTGAGGCTGAGGCAGGCTGAGGCTGAGGCTGTGACTGCGACTGCCGTTGCCGCTGCGACTGTCATCGCGAATGCGACTACGACTGCGAGAACAGCAGAATTCTACAACTGGATTTTCATGTGAATCTTAAGGGGAATGCTTTCAGATTTGCTTCTACATATCGCTGTTAGGTTGCTTTGCCGGGATAATTTTCCCAGGAGCGGGCCATTGCGTGCCGCTCTGGGACGGACTCTTTGCCGTCGTTTCGCTTCTTGTCCGCTCGCCCTCTTTTCGTTTTACCCTCTTCTCGCCTCGTGCCCGCTTGCCCTCGTCTCGTCCCGTGTCTTCAACGTGAGTCCTGATCATCATTACCAGTCACATCATTCGCATTATATGATCGTTGCAAGTACCGCTTGAAGTAACAGCGCCACCATCATTGCTGGCATGGCCACCATGACCATCACCAACATCACCATCATCATCACCATCGGCCGTATCATCATCATCGCAGCCAGCATCATCAGCATCACCAACATCATCATCATCATCATCATCATCATCATCATCATCATCATCATCATCATCATCAGAATCATCATCATCATCATCATCATCATCATCATCATCATCATCATCATCATCATTATCATCATCATCATCGTCGTTAGTGTCATCATCACCAGCATTATCATCATCAGCCGCATGATCATCATCGTCACCACCACCATTATTCATTGTCTTTATCTTCCTCCTCCGTTTGCTTTTCCTCGTCCCCGTCCTCTTCCATCCTCCTCCGCCCCTTCCCCCTCCCCTCCCTCCTCCCCTCCTTCCTCGCGCGCTTCCGTCGCAGTCGTGCCGATGGCTGTTGCTTCTCTCTCGCTGCCTGGACCCCGCGCCCTCTGAGGAGGAGGAGGAGTCGGAGGAGGAGGAGGAGGAGGAGGCGAACCTGGAATCCTAGAACCCTTCCCTGCACCCTCTCCCTCGCCACCTTTTCCTCACACCCTCCTCCTCCTCCCTCCTCGCTTCCCCCAGCTTCCCCCTTGGCGGTTCTCGTTTGCCCGCGGCCCCCGGCTTCCCCCTCTTCCCCCTCGCCCACTCGCCCCCAGCCCTTCCTGGTTTTCGTTTCCCGCTCGCCCCCTTCTCCCCCCACCCTCCTCCTCCCTCGTCGCTCCCCCCGGTTTCCCCCTTGCTGGTTCTAGCTTCGACAGAGGCCTTTCCGTGCTCGCGGCGCCGACCCTCGCGGCCGCCGCCCGGGCCGCGGGAGGTGGAGGAGCTGACCGAGCAGCTCGCCGTGGTCAGCGACGAGCGCGACGCCGCGCGCAGCCAGCACGAGGATGCGACGACGAAGGGGGGCAGGGATAAGGACTGAGTGAACTCTTGGTTGGACGCATGAGTTGCGACAGTCACCAAACGCGTTCCACTATTCGCAAAGTGCCTACCCGCAAAACGTCTGAACAAAAAACACATGTCTGCACCGATGTAGAGTATCGGAAAACGACCATGGCGGAGCCAGGCCGTTTGCGAGTAATTACTTTGCGAGCAGCGGAACGCGCTTGTCTAGACAAGGGAGGATGGGGAAACTGCCGGGAGTGGCCGGAGGCACGCGCGGAGAGAGGGCAGGCAGGGGGAGAGCAGCCCCCACCAACACCTTGCGCCAGACTCAGCTGGAGCAGGAGGAGGTGGACGACAGGGCGAGGAGGCGGAGAGGAGGGAGGAGGAGGAGTGGGGAGGAGGAGGAGGAGGAGGAGGAGGAGGAGGAGGAGGAGGAGGAGGAGGAGGAGGAGGAGGAGGGAGGAGGAGGACGACGACGACGACGACGAGGGCGAGGAGGCGGAGGGGGACGGGGAGCTGGCGGCGTCGAGGGCAGGCGGCTCCAGCAGCAGCAGATCGCGAGATTCTGTGCGAAGCCACGCTCTTCCCGCATCGCCAGAGGATTTGTTCAATCGTGTGGCCGCCAGCGACGACGACTTGGTGAAGGCCCACAGCGCTTACGTGGACCTCACGCAACGCTTGCAGGAGCTGCCCTGTCCCCGAAGGGGGAGGATCTGGAACTCCAAGGCGCGGCAGGGGCTTTCTAGATGCACACCCTCGTCCTCCTCTCTCCTTCACTCCTCGAGACCAGGGGAGGCTCGGGCTGTCCTTTGAAGGACAGACTCATGTCGATTTGCACGAACGTAGTTGTCCGAGGAGGGTGAGATAGGCGCAGAAAACAGGGGAGGGAGGAGGGATCAGGATGAGGAAGGGAGGGAGACCAGAGGGAGAGGAAGGTGAATCGGCAAAACACCAATCAGAAAGATGCGGCGGAGGAGGAGGAGGCGGAGGATGAAGAAAGGAACGCAAAAATAATCAAGAAACATTCAGCTGCCTGTGGCAAGTTCCTCTACCGTGCCAGCGCAGAATTTTTGCGGCGATGCTTCGAGCACCGCCGAGAAGGTTGTAGCATCTGCTATTATGTGAGGGGCTCACATGACGCCTTCCTGCGCCGTCTTGGGGGTCTCTTTGGCCCACATGGTGCTGTCTTGGGGGCCTCTTGGGAACCTCTTGAGCCGTCTTGTGGCTCTCCTGGGACCTTCCTGAGGATTTATGGAGCGCCTGGGAGCCCCTGGGAGGCGTCTGAGCGGGCAGCGAACCTCGGACCGGTGCACGCAACTGACTGGGTGCGAGGATGGCACGAGGGGGGGCATAGAAGACTCACAGGAAATCTACCAGACAGCACTTGGCATTATATTGCGCCTCATCGTACCAGGGGGGCACGGCGACGGCACCAGGAGCAGGAGCTCGCCTGCCAGAGCAATGACCTGCTCATGGAGGAGTGGCAGTCGTCGAGAACGGAGCCGATCTCTCTTCTGCTGCCGCTCATTATATAGTTGTGTTGTTGCGCCTCACTTGTTATCCCTCGTCTTTCTAGCTGATCAGACTCCAGTCCAAGGCGTTCTGGAACCTCCAACCTGGTTGTCCACTCAATTTGGAACTCTGGAGTACTCTTGCGCTCCGTTGTGTTCGCGCCTTCCCCAGGGGAGTACGCTTGCGATGTGTCTTTCTGTTCTGAGTAGACCGAAGCCGATGAATGAGTTAGACATGCGTATCTAGTTTTATGCTGTCCCGACCTACTTTAGCCTTGACCACTAGAAATAATTTCTAGCACCAGAGATGTACCGAACTTTCGAGGGTTTTCACGTGTCGGGCCCTGGGAGACACTCGTCCGACACTGTTTCGACACTTTTCCAGGTGCTCGAAATTGTAAGTGCGATTGGAGCAACATAAATATAGTCGAGTTTGGGAGCGATTCTCCACGGGTTGACCGACGATGGCAGGAGCCAATCCCTTTTGCTACGGAACGTCCACGTCTAGCTCCGAGAGGGAGTTCAAAATGGGTGAGCAGGGAAGGCCATGGCATCATTGCGAGTGCAGACCCCATCTCATTCATGGAGGGTGTGTGTGTGTGTGTGTTGGGTGCAGGGATCTGGGATGGGGGAGTGCAAGAGCACGGGACAACCATTCCAGTCAAACACGTCCCCCCGCCAATCCCAGCAGTTGGTTCTCAATGTGTTGGGAACGGAAGGCGTATGAGTCTTGAGTTGCTCTGGAGCACGGGGGCATCATTCTACGTTTTTGGGATTATGATTTGGCCTCTCCTCCCGTGGCTATTCTAAGCGTTCGTCTGCAGTGCAGAGATACTCGGCTCAAAGTCCAGGGCGTACCCGAAGGTGCGGTGAACCAGGGACACCTTTGCAATCTCTTCAGATCTTTCCTGAGTAATCCCGGTACATGCCTTTGGCATCACACCTCTCTCTCTCTCTCTGCTTCTCCCTCCTCTCTCTCTCCTCCTCCTCCTCCTCCTCCTCCTGCTCCTCTTGCTCCTCCTCTGCCCCCTTCTTCATCTCCTCCTCGCCTTCTCCTCCTCACCCTCATCCTCTCTTTCTGTTTGTGTCTAGTCCCTCCGTGCAGGAGGTGGAGCGTCTCAGCGAGGAGAACCAGCAGCTGACCGCGGTAGTGGCGCAGCTGCGGGCCGAGGCCGTTGCCGCGCGGCTGCGGGCCAGGGCCGTTGTTCGCAAGGCAGACGGACGGGCGGACGGACTGACGAGGAGGATGAGGAGGGAGAGGAGGGCCACGAGGAGAATGGGGAGGGCGATGATGATGATGAGGAGGAGAAGGCGTTACAAGATGATACATAAAATGTTTGCACGAAAGGACCTTCAAACACTTCTGATGTACTCACACGCCAGTCGTTGATTCAAAGTGTTTGCTACATGTTGTTATTCTCTGGGAGGGACTGGACCCTATGTTCATCATTCCCCTTCCTACGTAATGTTTCTACCTACTTTTTCCGACCGACATGTATGTTGCACCACATTGAGTTTACGACACCCTTAGATTGTACCCCAAATATTATTGGGCATGAGTTGCACTTCACAGGTTGCACCCCATACTTTCTAGCAGTCAGCTTGCACCACACACGCTGCACCGCATAGCTTCGCGCCCTATGTGTTGCAATATTCGGTCTGCACCGTATCGACTGCACTTCAAGACTTGCATCAACTAGCTTGCACAACAAAGATACAGCCCATAGTTTGCACCGTATATACTGCACTCCGAGGATCGCGCAATATCAATTGTATCCCATAGCTTGCACCAACTTGTGTGCAAACTGCACATTGAACTCCACAGATCGCACCGCATACATGACACTGCATAGCTTTCACCACATATCTTGCATGGCATATTCTTCACCACGCGAATTGCACCAGGGGGACTGCCCAACATAGTTTGCACCACACAGGCTGCAACTCACGAGTGCAATAACCGATTGTTTGGGGGTCAACGCTTGCCAGGCATATGAGGGTGAATCAACCGCAGATAAATGTGCTTGTTTCGCAAAGTCGCAGAAGTTTGTCCGGCTCCAGCTTGGTAGCAGCACGTTTCGTATGTCATCGGAGGTTGGGGGGTGAGCTCGCAGTGGAACGGAGACCCCAAACCGGGAAGTCGTTTCGTTTCGTTCGTGTCGTGCGTGCGGGCGAGGCGAAGCTGCGTGGGCGCGCGAGGGGAATGAACCCGTCGAGACAATTGCTTCTCCTCCGCCCGCCCGTCCGGCGGTGGTTCGCGGTGTCCCGCGGTGTCCCGTGGTGTCCCGTGGAGTCCCGTGGTGTCCTCCCTTTGCTAGGGCGAAGTCAAGACAAATGATTCTCCGCCCGCCCGTCCGGCGGTGGCTCGCGGTGTCCCGTAGGGTCCCGTGGTGTCCCGCTGTTGCTAGGGCGACGCCAAGACAACTGATTCTCCCTCGCCCGCCCGTCCGTCCGTCCGTCCGGCGGTGGCTCGCGGTGTCTCGCGGTGTCCTGGGGTGTCCCGTGGTGTCTTGTGGTGTCCCGTTGAGTGAGATCGATAGTGAGATCGATAGTGAGATCGACAGGTGCCCCTTGGTGTCCTGTGGTGTCCCGTTGGGTGAGATCGATAGTGAGATCGACAGGTGTCCCGTGGTGTCCAGTGGTGTCCCGTGGTGTCCCGTTGAGAGTGAGATCGATAGTGATATGGATCGTGAGATCGATAGTCAGATCGATAGTGAGATAGACAGGTGTCCCGTGGTGTCCCGTGGTGTCCCATTGAGAGTGAGATCGATAGTGATATCGATCGTGAGATCGATCGTGAGATCGATAGTGAGATCGACAGGTGTCCCGTGGCGTCCCGTTGGGTGAGATAGATCGTGAGATCGATCGTGAGATCGATCGTGAGATCGATGGTGAGATCGATAGTGCGATCGATAGTGAGATCGATAGTGAGATCAGCGAGAGTGACAGTGAGATCGATAGTGCGATTGATAGTGAGATCGATTGAGTCAGACGTGTGTTCCCCTCATACTCAACCTCCTTATCACCCGAAGGGTGGTCGTATAGGTATGTTGTTGCATTGCCTAGGATTTGTTCTGAAGCAATGTTGAAGGACTGTCGGGGACGCCTTGACAGCATCTTGTATGTGCAACGTTCATGAGGTTGTTGACACTAGTCTGTGAGCAACCCGCACGATATCGCAGCTATCTGGGGCACCTCTGAACGAAGGGCTGCCGTCATGTATCCTTTGGCAGTTTGGGTTGATAATAGTTTCGTGCAGGATCCAGGGGCGATGCCAGGAGCATGAGCACCATAATGAGAACGACCACCCCAGATGTTCGTGTTCATGGCGTTGTGATGCAACATTTCTGCCCAGGGGGATCCCCTCTATGGTGGTGAGTCGTGTCGGTTGAGGCGCTAGCTCAAAGCGGTGTTCCTTAGAGGCCCGCGAGTTCCGGGTGGCCCGGAGCCATTCGGCTGGCCACCCCCACGGCAACGCGGCGCGCAAGCCACACGTATCCCGTACCTCGACGGGTTTTAGCATGTGTGTGAGGAGGTTCAGCATGCTCCGCTTACTGGCGGACACCCGCAGGTAAACCAAACACAATTCACACCAGTACCAAAGTCGGCATCATGGACTCCACGCGAATCACCATACGCCGAGCCCATAACTTCAATTCGGGCATAAGGATACGTACATCGGCAATTTCGAATACCAGCCACTTCAATGAAACCCCCGCTTCGTGGGGGGCACGGCCAGATAGGCATTCCGTCTGTTCTTGGGCTGTTTTGGGGTTTTTTTCGCTTCGTCTCGTGGGCCAACTTGTGGGCATCTTTGGCCCTTTAGGTCCATCTTGGCTCTCTGAGCTGCCTTTGAGTCTCTTAGGTCTATCGGGGCTGCCTTGGGGCCGTTCGGGGCGGAGGCGGTGTGCGTGGCGCATATACCCATCGTGCAACACGTGCCGCCGAACCCAGGAAGTCGAAGCACCGATCTTCGTCCATGGTTGTGGAAGCCCCAGGCAAAGGCAAGCCAAAAAGATGTGCCACAATCGCACGGAGGACGAGAGCGCCCCAACGCGGCGGGTTCGCCACGCCGGGTGAGCAGCTGTTCTCCTGTCCAGTGCGTTGCAGGGAGAATCCAGCGGACACGGTGTGGCGCAAGGAGAATCGAGGATTGGCCGTTTCTTGGGAGTGCCTTGAGGCCGTCGCAGGGTTGCCTTGGGGCTGCATCGGGGGGCCTCGGCGAGTCCGTTTACGGCGCTCTTGAACACATACAGGGATTGAATTCATTCAATTGCGAGTGAGAGGATTTGGGCCGACAGAGACTCGCCGTGGAGTCTTGGAGGCCGTTTTCAGTCTGTCCTGGGGGTCTCTTGGGCCGTCTTTGGGGCCTATGGAGCCGCTTTGAGGCCGCCTCGGGGAGCCCTGTGCGCCGGCTTGGAGGCTTCGTGGGCCGTCTCGAACCTTCCTGGGGTCCGCTTGGTTGGACGTCGAAAAGGTGATTGCGCCACATAAATAAAAAACAAGGTGTGTCGAATAATGTTGGCCCCTGTGGGGCCTTAGGATTGTCCTCAAAGTTGTAAGGGTTAAGAGATGCGCAAAGAGAACGTAAAACGCCGATGTGTTCGATGACTCGTTGGCTTGCGATGCATCCGCCGACCCCTTGGTCTGGCTTAGGCTCGTCCGTCTCATTCCATCTTCGGCACACCTTCGAGCCTTCTTCGGTTTTCTGGTAGTTCTCTTGCGGCCCTTGTCTGGCTTAGGCTCGTCCGTCTCATCATGTCTTCGGCGCACCTTCGAGCCTTCTTCAGTTTTTGGTAGTTCTCTTGCGGCCTCTCTTGGGTTGTGGGGGGACTTTGTCGGAGCCTCGTCGTCTACGTGCATCTTGCAACATGTCTAGCGGCCTTCGGGTGAACCCGCCATCAGCTCGCCGTGCGCCGTCTAGTTGCCAAGCCTGATCGCTGGAGCCCGCGGTGCTTCCCCGAGGAAGAGCGGCCATTGCGGCTGCCAAATATTGTTTACGTTGGCGGTCAAGATGGAAGAGGCAACGCGTTGAGCTCTGCAGCGGCTCACACAGGCCAATAGCAAGATCCAGCATCAAATGAGATGGGAATGGGAAAGAGGTGGAGGGAAAAGAAGGGGAGTTGTGCGGGAAAGGCACACAGCTGTTATAGGATGGTGAGGCCCCCCTGCCGACACCGTCTTCGACGGCGCGGCGAGGAGAGCTTGTTCACGAGGCAGACGGACGGACGGATGGACGAGGACGATGAGGAGGGAGAGGAGGACCACGAGGAGAATGAGGAGGGTGATGAGGAGGAGGAGGGGGCGGAGGAGGAGGAGGAGGCAGGGGAGGAGGAGGAGGCGGAGGAGGAGGAAGATGAGGAGGAGGACTGGCGCCCCAGCGAGGTGGACAGGCTGCGCGCCGAGCACCCGGCGCGCGCCGCCCAGGCGACCGCCCACCCTCCGCGCGCGCGCGCGCCGGCGCCCTGCGCGTCGGGCCATCGGGGGCGCTGGGCCTCGGGCGCCCGTGGCGTGCTGCGGGAGCTACAGACGAACCGCAGAGCAAGGTGGTCGTTCTGTTTATGCATGGTCCTGCCGATCGGCGCGGGCTTCTGAGAAGTACCGCCACCTGCTGAGGAGGCCGTCTCCTCTTCACTTCCCCCCCGCAGACGAGGTGGTTGAACCCCCGACGGGGGCGGGCGGCTCGGGGGCGACGGACCCCGCGCGATGGTGGTCGTTGTTTATTCTTTGTTTTGCCGATCTGCGCGGGCCCCAAACCCCCCCTCACCCCCCCTATGAAGTAGATCTTGGTTTTTTTTTGGCGCCTGCTTCGAGCGGGTGGAGTCTCCCCCAGAGGCCGCACTCTTGCAAGCAGTCGCACGAAGCAGAGGTCTGGAGCCAGACCACTCCCCCTTCCAGCCGCTGTCGAAACGCCGAATATAAAACGTTCAGAAGGATGGGCAACCTTCCCAGGGGTACCCTTGCGTCCTTGCCCCTTCGGCCCATCCTCAACCACTTTCGCTGGCCAACCTCGTTCGCAAAAACGTCAACATGGGCCTCCAAGGCCCTTGCATCCTTACCGCGCGTCCTTATCATGCGGGTTCACTGTAGGTCAACCGCGGGCGCACGAAGCTAATCGCGCTTCGCGGGTCGCGGCTTGGGC